TGCATGAGTCATCTCATGTAATAAATATAAATATAAATATATATATATATATCTAGGCTCGGCTTGAGAACATTCAGACCGCGGTGGCATTACTTGTGGCGTAACGGCTGCACGACCTGCCTATGCACTATATTATGAACAGTTTGGTTTTATTTCAACTCTAGGTACTCCATACCTGTTTGATGTCTTTCTCAGGAGCTGAGTCGAAAAGCTCTGAAAAGAAACCATACATTGCCTCCGCTCCTTCACTACCGTATCGCTTAACGGTAGGAAATTTCAGAGCAAGGAAATGGTCGAAATTCTGAAATAAAAACAAAAATAATAGGAAAAGGGTGCAAATATCAAGAAGAGCGTCATCTCACGGTTGAAACCATTCTTTATACCTCGCACTTGAGCATAAGCTTAGCCAATTTTACTCGTTCTTCTGCGAGAAGTTCTTCAGCGACCGTGCTCTCAAAATGGTGTGCAAGCCACTGCCGCTCTTCCCAACTCTGAATGATCTTGTTCTAAGATGTGACAGCTGGACTTTAGTTATGCGCTGCTTTCGTAAGGATAGTATAGCCATCATCGATAAGAAAAAAGAACCTACGTTAATATGCATGAATTCAATTGCCATTGAACCACAGTAGATCAGCCGCAACTGCTCGGCCAGGTCTTCCATGCTTAGTTCTTTACCCGGCAAAACATCCTGTGGCGACAGACCGTAGACAGCCGGATTTAGTTCCGGCACACTAAACAAGGAATAGGATTGATTGAATACGTAGGAAGAAAAACAAACAAAAGGATAATCATTCGGTGGTGCTCATTCCGTTTTTGAGGGACACGACACCTCATGAGTTCCGAAAACCAGTCACTGAAGAGTTGTCAATCTAATCATTACAAACAGGTCTGGCACAAATTTATCAAAAACCCAGGAATGAAACGCAAAGTAAGCCATATCATCCCATAGTGTATCACCCATCCCGTTTGAGTCAAAAGTTCGATAATACACTAACTACTCGCTCGCTACACTCTCCTACACAACTACACAAAGCGCTCGCTCCTGTCTGTTTATCAGCCAAGAAATTCCATATTACCTCAAGTCCTTTATGATCCTAATCGGACTCTCCAGATGCTGGAAAAATCCGATCAGGCCTGGAATGTGTTGGACGTAGGGCAAGAATAACAACAGAGCACGTTCAAGCTTAGCGTTCAAACTCCTGCCCACTGGTTACTACTACTAATGCACATTAGAAAAGGTCCAGAAATGAGCTCAGGTGAGTGGTGTGAACACGACTTGCGAGTTTTCTTCACAAGAAGTCTCTGGTATCCAGAATCTGACCTCTTTTGGGCTTGCAAGCCAAGTGGATCAAGATCAGCCTGTAGATACCCATATCGCCGGAAGGCATTGATTAGGTGAACCCGCTGACTGTCTTCCGGCCGCATTTCGCCTAAAGTTTTCTACCTTTAAAGTAAGCTCATATTGACAAAAAAAATTGGGATTAATTTTGAGATTATCACAAAAACTGCAGGCGAAACTGTGATTCATTTCAAGGCAAACAAAAATACAAAAAACCGTTTGCTCACTCTCAGGAATGAAGGCACTTTTTGGCGGATCAGGCAGATGTCCAAATTCATTGGGACCCGCACGGTAGGCTCGATAAGAAGTTCCTGAATGAAATTACAGATTACTCATTATTAAGTCACAAAAAAACTTGTTAGAACCAGAGGTTCATAAACCCAATTGAAAAAATCGCTGCTAGTAATAAAAATGCTGCAACCTTATCCTACTTAATCGGCTAACAATAAGTGTGTCTGTTGGTGTGCTTGTATTAGGTCGTGAAGAAAGTTCTTGCGGTTTTGCGCCTCAAACTTCAAATGCATATATCTCAGCTTGAACGAAACTTCATCAATCGAAATAATAACCATTACTATCGACACACTTTTGTTAACGAAAAACAAGTTCGAGTATCCCATTCGCATAGAAGTCCGGAAATCTAGAGGCGATGAAATCGTCGAATGCCGCGGCAGCATCATGTTGGATTTTGAAGCATTTCTCCTTGAGAAAGCGTTGAGATGTTTAAAGAAATGGTAATCTATGGGAGCAAGGTCTGGGGAATATGGTGGATGCGGGAGAGCTTCATAGCCTAGCTCCATCAATTTTCTCAGGGTAAGTTGTGCGACGTGAGGCCGAGCGTTGTCGTGGAGTAGAATTGGCCCCCTCCTATTCACCAGTGCCGGGCTCATGAGCTGGAGTTTTCGATGCATTTCGTCAATTTCTTGGCAGAACTTTTCGGCTGTTACGGTTTCTCCCGGATCCATGGAGCTGTGGTGGATCAGCCCGACTGCAGACCAAATGACCTTCTTTCCATGCTGCTTCGGCTTGGGAAAATGTCGTGGGGCTTGATCCTTGTACAGCCACTGGCCTGATCGTCGCCGGTTGTCGTACAGAATCCTTTTCTCATCACACGTCACAATACAGTCTAAAAATGGATCGTTCCTGTTGCGCAGAAGCAAGGCGGAGGCGAGCTCGTAGCGGCGGTCTTTCTGGTGCTGAGTCAACTCATGCGGCACCNACTTATCGAGCTTCTTCTACTTCCCGATCTCCTGCATGTAGATGCCAACCGCCCTGCGGGAAACACTCAATTTTGAGCCAATATAGTTCAGCGTTGTACGTGGATTCTCTTTCACTAACGTTCTCAATTGTTCGTTGCCAACGGCCGATGGCCGCCCACTGCGCTCATCATCTTCCAGGCTCTCATCACCGGTACGAAATTTTTCAAACCACCACTGTGCTGTGCGTTGATTCATCGTACCTAGATTTAAGTCATCGTTGATATCCCGGTCCGTTTCCGTCGCACTCCTGCCCAATTTGGATTGGAAAAGAAAAATCATGTCGTTTGTGTCAGATCTGTCGTTTGTCCATGCTGATTTCGACTTTCTAAAAACCCCAGGAATCACTACAAGGCAAAACCGATTATATATTTGGATTGAGCAAGAAATGCGCTTTAGGATGGTATAAAACTTGCAAAAAATCTAATAGCAAATAACATCGCGGCGAGCATTTGAAAATTGGGCGTCAAAAACCGCAAGTACTTTCTTCACGACCTAATATGTCTGACCGGAAATTCATAAATCCTGTCCCCGTAGACCTAGAGCATTCACTTGGTAGCAGTACATGCGGCAAGATGGGAACACTCATGGTAGGTGGCAGAAACCGACTTCGCCCACAGGAGGCGTGGTTTGTGCGGAATAAATGTTTGAGCGGAAAACCACAACTCCTGTCCCCTTGGACCCAGAGTGCTCAAATTTGGTAGGAGTACAGTAAGCGAGATGGAAACACTTATGATGGGTGGCAATACCAGACCCACGTTGGGAAGTTTTTGAGCGAAAATTCACAACTACTGTTCCTGCGTACCTAGAGCGTTTAAATTTTGTATGAATACTGGCGGCAGGAAGGGAACTTTTATGACGGGTAGAGGGACTGGACACCGCCTTCAGTGGGCGGAATTTGAGCGAAAATTTCATAAATGCTGTCCCCGTACACCTAGGCGTACAAATTTGGTAGGAGTTCAGTCGGCAAGATGGTGACCCTTATAGGAGGAGGCATGACTTAACCCCGCCTACAGGAGGCGAGATGAATACGAAAATTGCTAATCTATGCCTGAGGCGTCAAATTTGGAACGTGCACAGGCGGCAGATTTAAGACGCCGAAGTTAGGTAGTAGAAAGTAAATGAAATTGATCGAGAGGAGGCGTAGGAGGATGTAGGGAGCGCAACATGCATGAACTGAGCGTACTTCGAGTGAAAACACACAGTCAATTTGGAATATGAAGGACTGAACCCAACACACGAAAAGTGTCGGTGTGTTTAGATAAAATTCGGTAGCTCCTTTTTCTTGAACCAGAAATTTTAAATTTGGGAGAGTGCAGGCGGTGCGTCAACTTTAACCCAAGCAGAGCAGCAGCCTTAGCCGACTGGTATGACAAATAGGCTTAGGCAAAGCGACTGAAATAGCTCTGTTATGGAACGTGGAACACGAGTTTTAGGAAGTTTGCTCGATGCTCTTCCTTAAAATCACGAGCTGTAATTTCATTCTCACACAGAAATTGTGAGGCACGTATAGAGTCGAGCATCGCCTTTTCTATCTGAGAAGTTCTACATAATTATAAAAAAACTCGCTTGATCTAACGTTGGTAGCTTTCCCTTGTGGCATTGGTGTGAATCTAATGGTAAACAACTAATTGAGAGAATGAATCTTAAACGAAGATTACGCATCAACACGCATTTCCAAGATTTTCCATTACGGGCGCGCGTCCGCCCATATTATTATAGCTCACGTCACAGTCGCACGCGGTGCGTCAACCCGTGACGTCCGTGCGATTGCCAAAATAGTAGATCACAGGGAGTAAAGCGAATCATTCGCTCCAGTGATATTTTGAGGTACTGTAGTCTCGAGATCGCAGAGGGCAGCGCCGCGCACGAAGTGTGCGGGGTGACCTGATTACGATGGAAGCGCGGAACGGCCTTTTCCCGTTCCATTACGGCTGAAACTATTGGAAGGTACAACAGAGTGAGACCCGGTTTTAATATCCGGTTCAGCAATAAAGGACCCAACAAAAAGCCAATCTGACATCATCGAACACCGTAGGGTTGTTTCGAACAACAAATTTACAAACTCTCCTTGCAAAACTAAAAGCAAGGCATTGTGCATCGGAAGCTCTCCAGATATGAGTTCAATGGCATCATCTTTGATGCCATACTGACGTCACTAGCCTCTTTTCACATCAATAGTCGGTGTTGTTGAGATTGAATGACACACTTTTGCGTTTCGTTTTTTTAGCCACTAAATCAGAACTCACTCAAGAAATCGCCCATGCTAATCATCTTCAGAAGTCCCTTGATGTCGTGGGTTATAGAGGAGCCAACAAGGGAGTGTTTTTTCAATAAACATCCACAAATAAGGAAAGCTTTGCAAAAAGCCGTACTCGAAAGAGTGGATTGATGGTATTACGTGAATATTCTAGGATGACGTATTTGATACTTCCATTCTCGAGTTCATTTCTATTAGCGGGCAGCTGTATATTCCAGGATTCAGTAGCGCAAGGAAGACGAGCAGATTTTGTCTATAAAGGAACGATTCGGAGCTTATTGGATGCTGTAACACTATCTACCTCCCAAATTCATGAGACGTAAATTTTGGCAACGTGCACTATGAGGTCAAAAGCTCCTTTACTTGAGTTCTATAACTAAAAATTCACAATACTCTTTCTAGAATCGTTTTCTTTAGTCCCGGAAAACATATGCCCAGCAATACTGTTTGCCTACAGTGGCCCTCTTGGATCTAGTTTATTTGTCTTCTAAGGCGGTCGTAGCAACTGCAGACACCCAAGCCATATACTGACAATTACCAGAATCATTCCTTTCCTAATTTTTTGTCGGCATTCAATAGAATGCACGTTTCTTTTAGCAGCGATTGTTCTTTTTTTACGGAAGCAGAACCATCCGTTCGTATCCTCGTTTTATAATATGATCTGAAGTTTGATACAGTGAATTTACTCCGTACTCCTCCCCAGCACGTTACGTATAGAAGCCTAGAAGTTCGCTCTCATAAATACCCAACAAAAGGAAGCATTGCTCACAAATGAACTGTTCTTCGTTTAAGTTACGGCCTAGATTCGCCTCACCGTTTTATTGATTGCTTCATTTCCATTTATAGAGAGGACAATGATTCTTACAAAAGCTATGGTGAACCACTGGCTCAATTTAATTGAAGTGCCACAAATTCATTTCATTACAAATATTTACCACCCTTACTAACACAGCTCATGAAATCTCTGAGGTCACCTCTTCCACACCAACAGCTATATGCCAACAGCTATATTGAGCAAATAACATGTGAACTACCTTCATCTTCTCGTGTGAATCGTACGAAAGAACATTTTTTTTTTGCTGTTTGATCTTTTCAGTTTTGGAGCCAGTTAATCCACCACTAGTGAAGTCCTAACCAGTAAGTCATGAGCTCAAATCAGAAACATCAGTAAGCGTTCTCAGGTGTTCTCATGTTGTCTTTAAGTCGAGCCGCTATGTTTGCCTTCGTAGTGGGTGGTGCATCGACGTTTATGCAATTGTGGCGAACCCTTCTCAACGTCTCCACAACAGAAACTCTCGTCGAATTCGAAAAAGATACTGATCAGCTGACTAGCATCGAGATGGAAGAGCATGAGATGTGGAGTAAGCGTTCATCGCAACGAGAATCGACCCAGATCAGGAATAACAGGTTAGTACTGCTTAATATTTTGTATGAATTCCACAGAGAAAAGAATCTACACAAAGTTTTATTCCCAAAAGGCTTAAGATACGCTGTCGCCCGGGCTGAAAGTGACCTGAACAGTATGAAATTTTCGTTTGTGATACTTACTACTTAGCTGAAACATCCCCATCCTTCACGACAATATCCCCATTCTTCAAAAACTCAGAGCAGCCATTATCCACCCTTTCCTTCTGATTCGACTAGGACCTTGAGACAGCTCAGTGTTTACATAGAAAGGTCGAAAACACGTCGCAAATACCGAATATAAAGACGGAGAGTCACTGAGCAAATTCACCTCAAATCAATATTTACCACTGGTTTCTAACAGTCAGAACAAAACATGATAGCACGTACAGATTTTTTGCGTGAACTTTTCAGGAGAATGCCACAAACGCTCACTGAAAAAGATCGATCCTATATCGCTGGAATTATTTTGTAAGTCGTTTACTCTATCTCTTTTAAACAATACCATGCTTTTTAACATTCTTCACAACCGTCCCAACTGCCACAACGACCCCATTCAAGTTTTCGACAAATTATGGCATTTTTTATACCACTCCTGAATTAATGACATTAAATAAACAAAAACTAATCTGATTCACCACGTAAGACTAATCTTTTGATGCTGCAAGCCTAAAAATTCTCTCATTTCGAAATAGCCACGTAGCATTTGACAAACTGATCACTAGGTAGACAGTCCACATTAAGTCCATCAATCTATGATTCTTACCATATACATAGGTGAGCTACGTGGATATTACTTGCTCCCATAATTCAGAACTCTACATTGGTAAAAAGACGATAATTTATGATTTAAGATTTTTAATGATTGAGATGATTTCAGCGCTTCCGTTCTTGCCGTCACATTAACAGCGCTAGCGATTGTTATGTGGACTATTATTCTATAGTTACGTGGCACAACAACCATGATGAGATCCCTTGTCAGATACAATCTGAGGAAGACGTCGACTCCTCGTTGCTTCCAGCTTCCCTACTGGGAAGGTATTACTTAGCCAGCTGACGGCATGATCGACTACCCCAACCGAAATGTATACGTGTACACCCATGTTTCAGGTGTTATTCTATTTTAGCTACGCTATATAATTGACGGTGACATCGATACATTACCGTTGAACATTTTTTAAGAAAGCAGCAGGCATCATTATTGAATAGTCATGTTTGTTTGTACCATTCTTGGTTCTGCAGATTGTTTGGATTGAAGAAATGCTCCATCAATGTTCTAAGTTCCCCCACATCCATCATTATCCTATGCCGAGTCGCCATTATTCGATTGGAATTCATGAAATTGTATAAAGGTAACCGCGTCATGAACATCGTAAATAAAAAATGAGTATGGACTTGAAAAGTCACATCGGAGTAACCTGCCACCATATTAATGAGATAGATGACAATGAGAAGATGAGAAGCATTACATTCTAGCTAACCAGGGAAGGATCCCAAGTCGAAGTGGCCGTTTGAAATGAGACCTACACTGATGGACGTGTTTTTGGATGCTGAATTCAAATCTGCTTTCCAAATTTGCTGGGCGTTTCTCTGAACGGAGTTATGAGGATGGTCTCAGGGAGCTTAACATAAGAAAACTTAAATTTCATGGATGCGCCTGTCTTCTTAACGGCTGCTTGCTTTGGTGGTAAGCGTGACACGTCATGTGCGGGAGACTAGTGTTCGGGTTTTGTGGAGGGCAGAATCTTTGCATCATATAGAATTTTTCCCTTTAGGACTAGAAACTACTGTCATGGTGATACTATCACGTTCTATGAAGTTTTGTTGCTTTGCTGATGCCTTTTCCTACCTACCTACCTGTTACAGAGTAGGAGTTCTTCCGCGGGCAAAATTTTGAAATCCGGGCAGAACAAGGCATATGACGAGCAATGATGATGCTAAAATGGGTGTTGGTGCTAGATTAGGTGCGATGGTACATAGCAGCTCCGGACCCACCAACATCGGCACTGTTGACAATGGACTCGTTGATATCATTCACAGACCAGAAAGCCATTCAGTGCGTCTTACCCCCAAAAAAGCAGGTAAAGGGAATGACATTCTTCTCGAGGCTTCCAAGAGACTAATACAGCCAACAGAAGCCTCTTTAAAATCCTTTTAGAAACATGGTTAAACGCACCACTTCATATGTAATAGCTCATGATCTCAACTTTTGCGTGTACACACGAAGTCCCATTTTCGCTTAGTATCGCTTGTCTACTTTTAGTTCTGTGCTGTTAGATCTAGGAAATTCCTCTTTTATTTATGTATGGCGCCGGCTACTTAAGTACTCAACCGGGTGATTTTGGGACGCCTACACAATTCTGTTTCCCTTCTAATTTGGGGTTAGTAACTGTGAAGCAATGGGCTGTGACGAGTTCTTTTTCATCCCTTGCTCCCATTGTGAGAAGAGTGAGAAGTTCTTTGTTACAAGCATTCCGTGATAGAGTATCACTTTTGCTCATTCAAGTGGCAAAAGTTATCCTACAGTGAATCTAGATTGAATGGGCATGCGAGTAAAACTGAAGTATTACTTTATGTTAATTAGTATCAGCAAAAGCATTGAAAGTTCTTAAAACGTGATAAAACCACAAGGGGAGCATTTTCTAGTCCTCAAGGGAAAGATTCTATATAATGCAAAAACTTTGTCCTCCACAAAATCCGAACCCTAATCTCCCGCACATGAAGCGTCACGCTCACCACCATACCAAGCCGCCGTTGTGAAGAAAGGCGCATCCATGTAATTTAAGTTTTCTTATGTTAAGCTCCCTGAAACCGCCCTCATAACTACATTCACAAAAACGCTCGGCAAATTTGGAAAGCAGATTTGAACTCAGCATCCAAAAACACGATCAGCAGTGTAGGTTTCATTTCAAATGGCCACTTCGACTTGGGTCCTTCCCTTGTAAGTAAAAAACGTGATTCCAGGTACTGTATGGAGGTAGACCTTGTTCACCATTGCCTCGCCGCGCGACTCAATGGAGGGTCGCTAAGCAGCCTCAGCTACAACAAACCCTGGAACATCGTTCTTCCATAGTAAGACAAAACTAGTTGTAAAATCGCTCCCGCTGGACTATTTGTAAGAATATTAGGGTATAACGAAGATCGCGTGCTTTCATCCATTCATTGGGTGCTTTCAGAATTCAATGACGTGCATTGTTTCACCGACCGATCGGCCGACGGCATTGCTGGCCATGTGTTGACAACAGTGCACCGGTGGATACCGCTCACGCGGCCCTGAGTGGTGCTACAGAGCGGAATGAATCAGTGAGCATCCTCCGCCACTCGCGTGCGGCTGCGTGGCGTTCTAGTTATTTGCCTTCTGTTTCTCTGGCATTGGAGCGCGATATTGTTTGCGCGTCATTTTCAAAAATGCACCACGTGACCCCTAGCTGCAAGAGAATCGACACGCATCCTTGCCCAGAGTCCCTTTTTCATGCGTCGTATATGTGGCGGGTGAAAATCTGGGCATTCAAATGAGTTTATGCCGTGAAGTAAAATGTATTGTCTACAGAAAATCTGCAGAATTCGGATGATGCTCTCTGTTTCATTCCGCTCTGTACCGTCACTCCGCGGCCCTAAAAACAATCTGTCACGTGACCAGCCACGCGGTCGGCCAGTCGTTTGGTGAAACAGTGAGTGTCGCTGAAGTCTGAAAGCACCAATGAAAGGTTTGCCATATAGCAGTTGTCAGCCGCGCGTGGAATGCCAGCGTTTCGCCATTTGTTCTGCGCCTTCTTCAATAACTTGATGTTAAGGAGTAGGCAACAAAGATTATTCGAGCTGAGTTTGACCCACATCTTCCTAACAGCGAACGTCCGAATCGGAGGGTCAAGATTTCATGGCAAAATAAGTGTTAACGGGGACACCTACACCGCCGACGCCTCTGCTGTATTATGTTTCAGAGAACAGTTCTTCTCCAGTCTCGAATACGGTGTGCAACAGAAGATGCCTTCTCGCATCGATTAGTCCTATGACCTCGTACCTGATCTTGATCTTCCTAACCGTGCAGACTGAACGAATGCTGGACGAGATCGACAGTGCTTGTGAAAAGATCTTATGAGACTGAACTTAACGAAGACGGATTGTTTATGAGAAACGGATGGGTATCTGAAGCTCCCTTTACGCTAAACGCTGAATGCTCTAGCTACGCGTATCTAACTCGGGAGGTCAACATGACCAGAGCTGAGGAGGAAAATCGAGGGAATAGTGAAGAAGACTAAGTACATCCGTCTCCGCGCTCACCTTTTCAATACTGCAGTCCTTCCTAATTTGACGTAAGCCTTGGCGACTTGGACTCTCCAAAAGCAGGATGAAAATGCCGTCTGCACTACTCAACGTGCCTTGGGAGGGACGATGCTCGGCTCGGATTTCTCTATACGCGCAACTGCTAGAGGGAATCCGGAGTTTCGAGTTTCGCCAACGAACGAAAAACACCGTTTACGCCAAGAAATCGAAGATTATCTGGGCCGGACAGTTATGCTATATCGTGATGACCGCTGGACTAGAGCGGTTACTGACTGGATTTCTCGGGAAGTCAAAGAAACACCAGGGTGGCCGCCAGCGTGATGGCCAGACTTCTTCACGAAAACGAAAGAAATTCTGCACATCTCCCTGAAGGGAGGAAGACCCACAGAACCACTCCTGCTCGCGACAGGGACGAATGTACCTCTCAATAGAGGATGTTCCCCTAAATAGAGGATGTTTCGGCTACACGTTTTGTGCCTTTCAGAATATTGTGTGTTAACACACGAGGCATGCACGAAGTGATGGACGCCTGTGTTACGAAGTGTAGACGGTAGCATCAAGCATTCGCCTGTATGGCTCCGCTATTACTTTGTCGACCCATTGGCTATGTCCCATTCATTTGTTGACCGATTTGGGTTATCCCATTGATGTGTCGACCGATTGGCGCTATTCCGTTGATCGCGAAGATGAAACAAGAGGTAGCGAAAGTGCGAAAAATCATGTTTGCAAGAACTGCAGTAGAAATTAGTCTGTTGGTAAAATATTCAAGTTAAACGTATGCTCAAGGGAGAATAAGTGCTCACTGAATGCGCACAAGAAACTGAATGTTCCTCATATTCGTGACATGTACCTTCTACCGCAGTTAGAGATCCAAATCTGCATTTTCGTCAACATGCACTGAATGCTGATTTTGATAATTGCCCGGGAAATACAAAGCAAAAATTTAAAAATCTCATGGATGGAACCGATGCAGCGACTTCCAGAGGCATGACAATCAATGAGTAAATGCAGATCAAGTGTTCAGGTAAGATCGTGGGTCATGTTATCATGTTTTTCACATACCCTTAATCCTACTATATACAGTTCGCTGAGTGGTCGGTTGGTTTGTCGGTGTATATGCGTGTGTGTCGGCGTGAGTTTGAACGGAACTTCATAAGTCATGTTCTCGTGGAATAGGAACATCCATGGCAGGTAGTGGGACCAGACTTCGCCCACAGCGGCGGAGTGTCAGAGTGTGCGTGACATAGATTTTCGACCGCACATTCAGGACTCCTATTTGTGTGTACCTAGAGCGTTCAAAGTTGGTAAAGGTACAGGCGGAAGGATCTCTATCAGCTCTATCGAGCTGTTATCACATAACAACTGAAAGAAACTGATAAAGAGCCTTAGAAGGTGATAAGCAGGATCCGTTACCTCTTTCGTGAAACGGTGTAGACTTGGCACTTTAATAAGGAATGTGGATCAAGAAGGGACCGCAGATGTTTAGTGATAAGGAATGATAACAAATGCTAGAGACTGATAACGAGCCAGAGAAGGCAAAAGTCACTAGGTCTACAATATCTTTCATATTAACAGTGGAGCACTTCAGTAGGCGGTGGATGTTAAGGGGCCGAAGGTGATTGGTGACAAGGACTGATTACAAGCGGGCAATGCCAGACAAAGAACGAAGGCCTGAGTCACTAGGTTTGTAAACCCTTTGCGTCAACAGTGGGACCTTGGCATTTTAATAGGCGATGTGGAATATGATGTGGTAGTAGGTACTCTATAATAAGAACTGATGACAACTGTTAAGAGCCGATAAGGGGCCTTAGAGAGCAAGAGCCACTTACAAAAACATGACGGCTTTGGTATTCATGATCAAACAGATTTTTTTAGTTTCATTCAGTAAGACGGGATGGTAGAATAGGGTGACAAAAGTGAGTGGTAAGGGCAGTGATAGAGACCCTTAGCCGCACTCCGATGGGCAGATGAGTATTTTATTCAGTACTTGCTATTAGGTTGCGACCGCTACCCAGCAAGATTTGTAACTCAATGAAGGATTTTCTTTGCTCGATATCATTCGCGACAAAAGTTCACCGACCGCCAGTAATCTGGTATTCTCAACTAATAACATCTCCGTAAAGAAAAAGGTCCATTGATAACGACATAACGGCACCTAATAATGGTGTTATCAACACTCGAAACATTTAGGAGTACCGCACAAGGCATTGTTTGCCCAACAGTTGTATCCTCAATGGGTATTTAATTTCAAAAGAAAAAAACGGTAAGATCGACACTTCGAGTTAGAGGCGTAAGCACCGACTTACACTGAATACCACACGCATTGCCTAGTCTTGTGCCAATCAGTATGCACAGCAAAATAATTTGTTCCAAAGAAGGAGTGGCGAGTGAGCTATTACTACAACTTTGTCAAAGGAAGTAAGCAAGGCGCTAGTCGAGCGAACCGCTGTTCGACAAATAAATGGATTATTAACTGCCAATCGTCATCATTAGAGCTTCTGGATTAATTGGACTTGGATATTGAACTCTCCGTTTCAAGTTACTTTGAGCATATTCATACACTCAGAGACGTATCTATTACATGTATACGTAATAGCTTGACTTTTATCTACTAGGATATTGTGGAGAAATAAACAACTTCCATAACTAACGTCTGACACACTCACCACAACATCGCAGACCTTGTTGGACAACACGAGCCCTCGCCAACATCTCTGCCCACCCTAAACTGATAGGTATAACTGCGACTAGACAAAATCGTTGCGACGCTTTGAGCCTGCACTTAGCACTTGCAGTTATAATGATAAAACAAAAAACAGAAGCCGGACAGCCAGTGTTCTTCTGATGTCAGTAGAATTTGGAGTGTCACATTTATATAAGTTACCATGAAAGTATGCAACAAAAGTTACAATAATAATATGATTATTTCTACAACAATGATGTTTTTGGAGAAGTGATACATGAACAAGAAAAAACTTAAATATCATGCACTAAACAGCTTCTGATGTGAGAGATTCCCGTTACAACGATTCTGCAAGGTGACTTTATCACTGCTCGTTAGATTAAGGTCTTCTTTTTGGTTTCCGCCAAAGTTTTTGCGGCTGTAGAAATATTGAACTTTTTACAAAAAAAAAAAGAAACAAAAAACCTAAAATTAGACTCAACTCAGTTGAAGAGCTAGAAAAATAAATAAATAAATAAAACTATTAGTTATATGAAACGCGAAAATCAAATCATCTTCAAAACAGACGCGCTGTTACGCTCACATCAAACAAATGCTTTCCAAAAAACAACATAGGACTCTATGGAAAGATGGCATTCTCACATAATATTCAACTTTACTAATCCTCCAGCCTGATAAGACTGCTGCTGCTGAGGAACCAGCGACGACTGACGCTGAGGAGATTGTTGGAAGGTTGGCTGGCGCTGGTACTGCCCCACCATTTGCTGCTGAACCGCCGGTTGTTGTTGTTGCATCCAAGAAGTGCCCGTATTCACTCCAGCGTACGGCGCATCTTAAGATCATAAAACTTACCAGAAGTTTCGTAAACTTGCCATTCCTGATCTTGATCTAGGCTATTTTCAATGTAGCTTTCGCGGCTCTTGAGTTCTATATTGATTTACGAACCTTATACACTTAATGCCTTACGAGTACGATCGCATACAGTCAGTCAATTTTTAGCTACGACATAAAATACATCAAAACGAAACAGAAGTATTATGGGGTTTGGGACGTGGTCCTGTTGGCAGGGAACTTGAAAAAAAAGTGAATCACCGCTCGAGAGACAGATGTTTTTATGCAATCAGCCCCATAAGATCATGCAACTCCTGTTTTGCGTTGGTTTTTGGCTTTATACCTCATACTGCTGGCGCTTTTCCCTTCCAAAGGACCGTACCAAGTACAGATGTAAAACCCACACAAAAACAAAACATCCTTCAAATCCTCGATCAGTCCTCGAAGCAGAATATGGAGGACCTTACGCCAGAAATCAACGCGCGAAGTGGTAGATGCGTGGTCTTTTGAGATTGATTACATGAATACATGTCTCCTGACCATGACAGAGCGGTGTAAGATTTTCATTTTGAGTTTCCCGCCTTTCACAGTTTGAATACGTATTGTCTGCTCTACCTTGTAAGTGGTGATTGACTGATTGTATGCAACCAGCAAAATCTCAATATCGACGAAGGATTAAACTTCGAAATTTCACCAACAAAATAAGAACTCAGGAGTTTCGAACAGCACATATTCAAAACATGATCAGAAATTTTCCAAGCAACATGAAAAGTGCGGTTGCATTATTTCGAAAAATCGAAACCAATTAAAGTCATTGGAGACAAATTTCCGCCCAAAATTCGAAGATAAGGCAATGTTTGAGCAGATTAACTCATACGCGAATGCACAAAAGTACACGTACTCAGAGTGGTCTGCTGCACCTGTCCCAAGCCCAGCTGAGCTCCCGTCTGCTGCTGTTGCTGTGCTTGTTGTAATCCCACGCTCTGCCTGAAAAACGATTGAGTACGTCGAGTGAGCAGAAAAAAATACAACAAGGTATATAACTACAACTCACAAATACTGCTGTGTAGTCATCGGTGCTGATGACTGGACTCCGATAGCAGACTGCTGTTGTTGAACGGCCTGAACACGACATTTGAACAAAATAATTCCTTTTAATAGATCGGGACCGCTTAAGACAGTTCTTATAAAGGATTCTGATATTTTTCACCTTTATTTCCTTCTTCAAAATGTTGAGCAGTATTTTCACCTAGTGTTACCCCAATTTATCGATATCGCTGGGAACTCTACTTTCGACAACGCTTGTCCAATTAAATCCTAACGCGACATGCGTTACGTTTGAGAAAACGTTGTTCGTTGGTTTGGGCCGTATCAAAAGCTCAAGGGTCAGAATACCTCTATCCACCACTTCCTTAAAACAGGCCTAAAGAGTAAATTTAACACCAGTTCAAAATAATGCACAAGCTTTGCGTAAGGCTCCACTGACGAAATTGAAAGGGTGACGAACCTTTTGAGACTAACTGGTATTGTTCGAGTTCGGTAGGTCAAACAATATACGAGAGCACATTCACAAACAAGGACACATCGCGAGCAAGTCTGGTTTAAATTCATGAAAGTGCGACCGTAAAAAGTTAATTATGTAAGTTTTTACAAATTACTTATTTATTTGTTTAGTAAGTATTTACAAATTAGTGACGGAGCTGGACATATTCGATCTAACAGTAGCTGTTTTTGTCTTCGTACAGGGAATTGCATGACAACTCAACCTAATGGCTTTAACCAAAATACTCACAGTAACATAAGGTACTTGCTGAGGCTGTACATTCACCAGACCTTGGTGCATTGTTGCACCAACAGTTCCATATACGGGGGTGGTTTGGTTGGGGAGATAGGTTGTTTGTTGAGCAGGAACAGCGCCCATTTGAGGCACAGTTGCCATCTGTTGTACTTGTGGAGGAGTGGCGACAGCATAAGGAGCCTGAAGTTTGAATACCTATAAAGAAAAAACCGCTGATATCCAACTGTGCTTTACTCTTGCGTTGTCCCCATTGCGACCGTTCACATTCATTTAGCAAACCTAATTTGTTTGATTGAAAAGATTCTATCAACTTGTACCCTTCCATGATCGAAGGAAAGCATTCTACATGTTCATCTTACTAACAAAAACAAAAATAAAGCACCTTCAATGAATATGGATGGCTTCCACCAATAGCTGCAGGCTGAGTATATGCTTGAGGCTGGGGAGCGATGTAGGGGACGGCAGCCGAAGAAAGTCTAAATCAAATATCAAAATGATTCACTTCAATCGTGATACATTGTCCTAATACGTTGCAAAACATTATTCCCTATAACATGGCGACTCGACGTGAGCGAAAGCGTAGCGCTGCGATAATACGATTGCGAATCAGCATAAACCATTGACAATGTCTTACTTACGCGACGCGACTAATGTTCAGTGAAAATGTTTATCGGCTGCAGTGTGAAACGACGACGACTTCAACCTCCTGGGCGATTGAGGAAAACGCGTAACTACGAGATTTAGTCAAACGGTGACGAAAATACTGAATTCTTAACGAATAATTCTAGTGGGAAGACTTTCAATGATGCTGTATGATTGAACTGCCGCACCAGCCAGTAAGAGTTGCACGAATATAAGTGAGAATAGAGCGAGAGTGACCCTCTAGGCGCTGAAGGTGCTTCTCCAACCTACCAACCTGTGCTCACCGGCTAAATCAGAATGAGATAAAGATAAGTCAGAATTTTGACCTTAAAGTATCATGATTTCTAAATGCTGAGACAGAGATACATGCAGAGTACGACGAGCAGAATAATCGTAATTTTCAAGAACCGTGTCGCTCAAGTACACTCAAGTCGACGTGACGCGTGATATCACACATTTGCGAGATCGTAACGTAGATAAAAAGTATGGAGGCAGCGATAAAAATCGCACGACAAAAACGAGAACGAAAATCAAAACCGACGAATTCGAGCGACTGAAATATTTTTCTGCTAGAAATTGCAGATGTTCATCGAATTAACGGTCACGAAACGACGACGAAGAACAAAAGACGCCTTAGAATTAGTCGGTGAGCACAACTGCCGAAGCAGCACCAGCGTATTTCCGACTTTCCACTTTTGAACTCACTAGAGTCTCAGCTTTCCAATTTCGCTGGTATATCTTCAAAAATAAATTCTTCCAAACCCTAAAATTATATTTATAAAATCGTAAAACTGCATAAGCAGTACTGTGTAGATGCTGTGCCCAAAGGCGCAATTGGCGTGACGTAGACCGATCCAGCCATGCCATTACGTTTTGCATGAATCTCCTTCTGCAGTCGTTCACGATAATAAGTATATCGCTGTCGAGATAAACTGTATTCCTCATAGAGTTGTTGTAGTTCACTGAAAATGAAACATATTCAGATAAAGCGCACCAGAGAGGAGGTCAAATATCACAAACAAGACTGGAATAAAAGCCAGTCGGGAAGAAAATGCGCTAGAAAGAAAGGACGATGGAACCAAATTACGTTGAAGACGAAGATCATAACACACAACGGGTGAAAACACAACGATTCTGGAACTGTGTAAGTCAGGATTCTAGGTAATGAATAAATGTGGGCACTTACGGCTCTGGTGGGCGTGGTATCTCCTCGTCAACCATGCTGATCATCTGAACTGACCTTTTCGCATCAGGACCATCTCTGATAGAAAAAAATCAGTAAGTTTAGAGACCCGTAAGTAAAACTACAAATTTAAAAAGAGCCCTCACATTGCACCAGCTGGCCGCTTCACTGCACCAGTAAGATCTATTTTGATTGTTTGGGTAACTCTGAGTACAAAGAGAATGAGCTATTATGTCATTAAATCACGATAACGACTTATAGTGGTTGACTAGGTACCAATTCAGATTGAACATACTGATTATTTGGATCTTTGGGACAGTTTGGCGTTTTGTGGTCTGTTGAAGCACAGCGAAAGCATTGATTCGACATTCCAGGTTGGGAGCGCAATTTCGATGTTGATCTGAGACACAAACAAAGACGTCTGACACATAGAGTCCAGAATTACCACATAAATAAATCTCTACACGTCTATTTTATTTGTGCTATCGATTACGAACAAGGTCTTGACCCGAACATATCTCTTCTCCTAGAAATAGTTCTTCAATTCACTATCACAGCTCCAATGAGAGGGAAGAACTTTGCCCCACAGACACTTTCTTAAGGGAGGAAATATGTAACATATTTCTCAAGCTACTAGAATGACTTTTCGAGCCAAATTAATTTGAAGCTTGCATACAATTCAGCACTATGATCCAGAGTACAGCTACAATTGTTTATTAGCATGATGATTTGCTGATGACTCTATGCGTGATTTTCTGAGGATTCTGATCCCGGAATCAGAAACTATTGTAATATTCGCTATAAGCAATATCGATCAAGCCCTACAAATCTTGTTCAGTAGAAATTAGCTTTTGTAACTGAAGTCCTTACAGCTGGGTGTATCAAAAACAGCAATAAAATAATTGACAGTATAGATGAAAAAACTCACAGCTGAATGTGAATATTTTTTCCTTCCAGAGTGTAGCCATTCAACCTGTTTATGATTGACTGAACATCATCATCCTCAATATGCTGAAATATTAAAGATTCTTCGCAGTTTATATGCTCTTGATAGCTAAATCGTACTGCAATGTAAATCTGCTAATTTAATGAAAGACTAAACCTTAACGGCTCAAAAAGGCGAATCGCCTAAAAAGAACCATCTCCGCGCCCTCGCCTACACTCTTTCAGATGCTAGAGAAAATCTTTTTGTTCAACCAGTATTACATCTTAGCCAAAAGAATACGGATTTTACCAAAACCTTAGAAGGGAAGGACCAGCTGGTGATATTTCTTTATGCAAAAAACTGGGATGATGTAAGAATGGACCACTCAATTGACTCACCCCTTCTGGTGCTCCTTCAATCTTTGAGCTTTAGTACTTTGAAAAAGTAGATTCTGTCGGCTAAGAAACGTTCTAAGCACCACGATCGTCAAAGCCGGCCACCATTCCCTCTAGCGTCCAATGTTGAATAAAAGCGGTGCCTCCCTCCTCAACCCGATTACATTTCTACCTGTACCATTTCTACCCGATTACATTTCGGTTCAAAAAAAAAATTAATGTCGAACCAGATGCTCCCCTCAGGACCAAGCCATATTCCCGTAGTGACGGAATTCAGCGTGGCGGCAATTCTATCCGAATTCCCAGGCTGAACAGTAGTGGTTCAGCGATAATCACCGTAATCACCAAAGTTAAACTTCCTCGGCACAGTGCGCGATTGCAAGTGGACACGCCAATGGGGCAAAAGAACCCATACTAACACACCCACAGCACAATGGTTCTATGATATTTCCACCATAAAAACGATGACATGACAAAGTGAAAAACTTACCACAAAGGCATAATTTTTCACGACATCGCACTCCGTTACTTTTGTGAATTGTTGAAAAACCTGCTTGAGTTTCGTTGAATCCACAGTGTCGGCAAGATTCCCCACAAATAATTTGACCATGATTTCTAGAAAGGCAAATAAGTTGAATTTCCACGAGATTTAACCGTATTACCTAGGTGTCCAGCGAAGCGATCTGACCGAGTCTCCGCAAAATCTCTACGTAGCAGAGATCAACCCAACCAAAACAAAACTTCAGTAGTGATAATAAACTCTGTTCGCCACCTAACAATTTCTGAGAATATAAGGGCTTAAACTATAAATGGGTCAGAAGGGGTAAAGTTCAACAAAAGATGTACAAGTGCGTTGTGGGTGCTATGAGCCTAGCGAGCACAGTCACAAAAGTGAATATAAAATGCCGCTGTTCAAATGGAATAAAACCGGGTTTTTCACGGCGCGGCGCTAGTACTAATAAAAAAGTTCAGAAAACAAAGTCGTAAGAAGATACCATTGTGATTCTTCATGGACACATTCACTTCAAGACCACACTTTCAAGTGATGAAGCTTCATTCGTAATCGAGAAGAACGAGCGAATACAAATGAAAAAGAGGGAGTGAACAAAACATTCATAAGGACTTCTGCCATGGATGATTAAGCAGCAACTTTGAAGGGTTAAAACAAAGTGATTTGTCGAATTCAATCATCTACAGCGCATATTCGTTATACAAGGCGGGATTATAAAGGAATAACAACAATTGAGTTTCGCTTCCAAGATTTGAAAGAGATAGAAGGTGGTTCATGAGACATTCTCCGTTGACGGCTGATAGCGCTCCTTCTCCTTGATCAAGAAATTAATCAAGAAGTCGATTGGATTCTCCGGTCTGTCCTTCGCAAGTGCTCCCAGAGCCTGAAAAGAGAAATTTGTGCACCTTTAAACGCAACGAAAAGGGAACATTGTTAATTACGACCACATACCTGCAGCAAAATAGGAACCACCGTTTGATCAAGGTATTGTCGAGTTGGAATGGCTGGTGCAGCACGGGGAGGTGCCAGCACACCAGCAGCCTGGGGCGCAGCGGTAGCAGCAGCGGTGGCAGGCGGCGCTACTTGTGCAGGAGCTGGGGCAGCCGGAGCCGCAGCAGGAGCAGCAGACGCATTTTCCTGAACCGTCATAGCCGACCTAATACACTGCAGTAACGACATTGAATGATTCAAACCGCCGTACTCGCATTTCAGCCTTCTTCAATTTGCTCAAAATCAATCTTACAAGCGAACTCACGTCAAACCAGGAATTATACAATAGAACCGTGAAAGCCTTCTTACAGTTTCAATGTTGAAGGAAGAATCTGGCATTGAAAAGGACGCGAAGAGACATCGCTGGTTCACTTCATTTGTAGTACGACATTGCGTGTGAATAATAATTGGTAGACCATAAAGTCAAAGTAAGCAACAATTCTGATGGAATCGAATGGAATATTCCACGGAACGCGAATTGGTTGCGAAAGAACACAGGGTCGCCCACATAAATGGCCTCATCTTATGCCAACGATGAACACGCTGGAAAGGCGAAAAGGCTAGAGAAACTGGTAAAGGTGTTAAGATCGGTCACAGCGGAGAATACCCCGATCGAATTGAGCAAAGAAAAGGTACTGGAAAAATTACACATGTAAATGTAACGCAATTTGGCGGTTACAACTACAAAAAGAGTGAAATCTATCTGAGCCTTGGCCATGTCATCAGGTAAGTGCCGGAAGGAAATAATCTCACTACGTAGCAGTGGTCTGAGTTCCTCTAGTGTTGTAGCTCCGTAGATCTTTCATTTACTCTTAGCACTCGAAAGCATGATCTCACTACACCAAAACCCTTCTTTTTTAGAAACTCTAGGTGCAACTATCCAGCCTCCCAGAACCAGACCACGCCCAAGTGCAAACACAGCCAGCAAAAGGCAGATGGCAGGAAGGGAAACATCAAAATCCTTCTTATATATAAAGCAGTAACTTGGTTTGTCGGTTTGTCGGTATGTCCGTATGTCCGTATGTCGGTATGTCGGTATGTCGGTCTGTCCGTCCAGGTTTCTTTGTGATTATGATAAAGGTAGTGATATGGAAAAGTTAACCTTCTTATATACAAAGCAGTCACTTTGTGGGTAGGTTAATGGAGAAAGTGAGCACTGCGGAGGGAAGTGAGTAATATGGAGTGAAGTATTTATTATTTCAAAGTGTGATTTCTACTGTACTGTACTGGCAGTACTTCGGCACTGTTACTTGATCGACACTGGCATGATACTATGTTTTTCTACGCAGTATTCAGGATTTGGCTACCACATTCATTTTTTTTC